CCCTGTGGAACACCAATCTCAATCACACCACCATGTCTACTAAGTACGACTTTCTGTCAATCACTCAAGCATTCCGTTTTTTGCCCGACATCTCCACAGATAGTTGTAAAAAGGTTCCCCCTTACACCGAATTCCTGTACTGGACCCAAAAGTCATAATATCTTTTAGTGACGCCAGGAAGCAGTCATGTAGTCCTTTCACGTCAAAATGAATTAAAAGAGAAGACTCAAAAATAGTTCTGAAATTGAAGTAAGACTATTCATTAAAGTTTTGGAGGCAAAAAACATTGCTGGTTACCTCTGAATGATGAGAGATCGAAATCACCATGGCTAAATTGTCATACGTTGATGATTCTCTTCAAATATTCCGACCAATGTGGCCCGTCTGTAAACTGCATCCACTTCTACGCTTCAGCAAGGGTACCCGAGTATTCATGCTCATTGCTCTCGGTAAATTGAACTGGACTGAGCCAAGTTACCAAACTTGATTTCAATTGTGATTTACGGCACAGATTGTGTTTTCCTATATTCCACATATTTTTTGTGTATATATTGCCTAGATTGTTCCGTTTTTGCCGCACAATGTTTTGGGAAGGAATTCAGCTACCGCCAGACATTGAAGATGTAAGACGTGAATTCATTTGCATTTTCGCTCAGTCCACTCCACTTTCCGATGTTCTAGACGATGATTATATTCTGCAACGCTGTCGAGAGCGCTCCACTAGTCTAATAAGCTAGTAAGTGATCCCATTCGATAATAGCCTTCAGCCTCTCAAAATCGGAAAGAATAAACGAGCTGATTGATTTGGTGACGGACCAGTCCAATATTCGGTTCGATGTTGAACGTTTTAAGTAAGTTTACGTGTTACAAAGGCATATGTGGTAACACGTCGTGCCTTACATATGTTCTGCATTTTATCTTGTTCGGCAACTTCCAATTGCTTCACTGGAGTCTCCTATCTGGACCAGAGCATAATAAGTTTTCGAATAACCCACCTGTGAAAAACTCTGCGTCCTTTTACCTAGCTAGCTAGTTATGTTAATCGTCACTGTATGTAATATATTCAGTTAGGTCCTGGCTTTTGTAAACCTTAATTTAACACCCACATTTGGCTGAAAAAAGAATAGTCCTTAATTCCTAAAAAAACTTCATTCAGCAAGGCCAAACTGTAATATTTCGGCCTTTGTCTTGTTGCTGAAATAATTTACGGTGCTCACCCCGTGCGCCTTTCCCGAGTCTACTTATCAGCCATTTTTCTTCCTCGCTGATCAGCGCTCGCAGGTTCGATTTAACTTTTTTTAACAACTCGTCATTACGCAGACGACCATCAGTAGCTGCGGAGATCCTTTCGAGTGATGTCCCCCAATTATTGGACTTCCTTGTCTCGTCTGGACAGGGAGCAGTATCGTCGAACGAGCACTCGAACGAACAGACCGAAACTTCGAAGCCTCACCGGATGCCATTTGTGGATAACTTATTATCATTCCTCGACCCTCCAGCGTCATTAAATCCCCTGTCAGCAAGCTTCTTTTCCAAAATCCTCATCAATCTCTTGTCTTTTCGTGCTGCCGAAGTAAGTTTTACCTTTCGTTTACATTTTTTAAACCCGTATTTAGTTCACACATATATTTTCTTTACCTGCGATTATATTGAATAACAAATACTTTGTGCTACAGTCTTCTACTTCAACCTTAAATCCCAATAAATATAAAAAAATAACATTCGCCGTTCGCACCTATAACGTCATCCCCATCTTCGATGATACGACATATGAATGCTTATGCGTCTTTGCAGTCTTTGTAACGTGTTTTCAAAATGTCATCAGCTTATGTACGCTACTGTACACATCCTTCACTTCAGCTATCTGGTTTTTAAAGTTAGATTCTAGACATAAATCTTAACTGTATTATAAGACCAAATCTCTATGTTAAGATCGACCTCTACTGACTCCTTTTCTGTAAAACTTCTATTTATTTTCAATTTTAGCTCGTGCCTTACCTAAAAGCCAGGTCGGACTTTTTTCCCAACATTCTGCAGCATCTTGACACCTCGGCCATTAGCGACCTCCTGGTTGAGTTAGCACAGCAAGACAATGGTCAGCAACATGTAGTTGCCAAGGTAATTCCAAATCCCTAGTATGTTAAATCGCCAAAAAAACATTCCACTTTATACCCTCGACATGCTAATTCAGCTTAGTCTCTTTGTTTTGGCCTATCAGAAACTTTTTGTACCTCCGGGCGTAAGCGGATAGAATTAATACAAGAGAGTCGCCGAATATCATTTGACGTTGCTTTTGTGGGAAAATTCTATAACCGTGGGCATTGTATAATTTCGCTCTTTACCTTTTTTGGCTCTGTTTGTGTCCGCTCACGCGGCCATTTTCAGGCAATTCCCATTACTTTGATTCATGAGGTCCACATGAGTCTATCGCAGTTGGTTGACTTAATAAGGTAAACTCCTTGCCATTGCGATCTTCAGGCACGGTTCCCTGTGGAAAGAGAGTGAGGTGGACTTAATAGTTTATTATTTACAGAGAAGTTGGAGAAAATATAGGAGGAAAAGTGCACTTCCGGTCGCGAGTAGACCGAATCCGGAGCGTGTCAGTGCGGGAGTCGAAAAAAGCGTCTAGAGCGC